TTTATTTTTACCTCAAAAAATAGCTAAAGTTCTCTAGTTTAACATATATTTTTTTCAGATTTTTCAGATTTTTTACCAGCGACTTCTTCTAATTGCATATGAAGTCAATTAATTTTTATTAATTATTGATTAGTAAAAATTAATTGACTTTATATGCAATTAGAAGAAGTCGCCGGTAAAAAATCTGAAAAATCTGAAAAAATATATGTTAAACTAGAGAACTTTAGCTATTTTTTTGAGGTAAAAATAAAAAATATTTGTTAGTAAAATTAAAAACTTTTATATGTAAAGAAAATCACATATTTTACTAATTATAATTAGTAAAAAATTTAAGCGTTGCATTACTTTTGATGGCCACTGTATATAATGAGCTTTCTCATAACTATATGTGCGAATACTGATAGTTTAGCTCCAGTTTTGTCAATCATAACTGTACTTGACATTTCAAAGTACACAGGAGTCACCATCCATGTTTCCAATAAATACTTCAGAATAATCATACTGGATCCTATGGTATAAAATGAAACTCAAAAATGCTTGTAAAGTTCTTTCCAAATCTTCAGGTGGCTTCTGGGCCATCATGATATGATGATGATTACTAAGATTATACTGATGCATAAATCCAACTATTTTTTGCTCCACTTGCATTCACTAACTGACGGATACATTGAAAGGTATTGTAATTTTTTGGTCAAATTTTTATCTTTATTTCGTACTATAAAATGAGTAACAGCCTTTTGTTGATTAAGCATTCCCCATACCCAAACTACTAATTCTTCTTCGAGTTCAGGATATTTGGGCCGAAATCCTACGTTAAGATGTTTAACATGTGGTAAAATAGCTTGTAACTGCCCATATTCATTTATTAATCTCGTATTTGATTGGGTTGTATATCAAACTTGGTCGTTCCAAACCGTAGTACTTGGATTTTTCTCCAATTACGTAAGTATTGTCAACTTTTCGTTAGCATTACAGGCTCCTTTTCTTTCAGTTATTTTGGTATGTTTTTGGTTTCCTTTATTGCGTGCCATCTGTATAAAAAAATTAAAATCTTATTACCAATTAATAAAAAAACTTACTTTCAAAACAAAAGATTCGCGTATAAAAGCAACAGATCACACACACAAAAAAAATCGCGTCTTTACAAACACGAAAAAACTATCTTGAAATCTAACAATCAGATTTGAAAAAAAATTTTTAATAATATATATTCGTCACATAACTAGTTGATTTTAATTGGTTGATCTCCCATCCGTACTCTAGACCCCCAATAATAGACCCTACGCCATACAACAGACTCCCCGGGTCTAATCAATTTTCGGGTAGGTTTAAAGTAACAGACCCGGGGTAGTTTATGCGGCAATTTACTAAAAACTGTGCCTGGGCCAAAACTTTGATTTATCAAATTTTAATTAGTACTTCGGTTTAACGGGAGTATCTCAGTAATGGGTCAAATACAAAAAATGAGTTTATTTATAAGGTAATATAACGACATTAATCATCTTTTGCAGCAGATTTGATGCTTTGATATTAATTAAGGTGATTCGTTTTCGTTCTCTATATGTCCATGCCAGTTTTTCAACGGATTTTCCTTAAGCAGATTTTCCCATTCTTCTTCCATATCAGAATGAACCAAAATTTCTTGAACGACTCTAACAGCTGAATTCAAAGCTCCAACAATCCAAGCATGATGTATATCAGTGTGTTCACCGGCCCAATGTATATTATACATTGATTTTATCATCGGATACATCAGATCGCTATATTGTGACGGACCAAAAAGCGCAAAAGCCCCAACAGTGGTTGGTTCATTTGGCCAATAAATGGATCTATTATATTTCGGGTCTTTGTCCCACAAATCCTCGATCTGATCTCCATGGAGAATTTTAAGGTCTTTAAGACAAAGTCTGACATTATCTTGGAGATGTGGAGCAAACTTTGCTGCATCGTTTGCCCAAGTATAAGAACCGAGGAGGATCGCGGGATTTTCTATGTCTTTACCGTCATAATAAGATGGATAGATGACCGTCCGAATTGGGAGGTCAGTTGTCGAACTACCTCCACGAATATTAGATTTCTCCCAAAAGCGAGATCTAAATTTCAGAAAGATTTTTGCAGAATTATCATAATTCAATTCTCGAATCGCGCGTTTTTTGTTATAAAAACTGTCCCTTTCTGGTGATTCTTCTAGATTTTTCAAACCTATGTTAATTGATGTTCAAACGTAAACGTTAATAATATGCTATAAATTAATTGTCCAAAAAAATTTGCATGTCCTCATATAAACTAACCAGGCAAATCCCAATGACGAACGACACCCAATGGACAAGTGATTATAACTCTATCAAAAGTATGGTTAGTATTATTCCCATTTTCTTCCCAATGGACACGTACTTTTGACACCCCATCTACATCCACGCTTTCAAGTTTATAAACTTTACATTTATACTTGATTTCTACATTCCCATGATGCTTTTCATGCTCGAAAGCAAGCGGGAATGAGTTAGGAAATCGTTGCATTCCGTAATCAATCGTTTTCCATTTTTGTGAGTCATTCGAAAATGTATAAGCATCCATCACAGCTTCAACAAACGAGAGTCTGAACAACCCTGTTGCAGATTCTGTCATTTCCATCGCAGCAATAGTATCATCAACATCGAACTTTTGACACAAGCTTGGAATGAGGTTAGGAAAGTAAACTTCTTTGAGAAATGAGTAAACACTATGTTGGTCAAATTTCATGAGAGATTCAAGTCCCGATTCAAAGTCTAAATCTAGAGCGCGAAAAAAACCGCTCATCGCATCGTAGAGTAGATATTTGTAATCAGGGTGAACTGTTGATGGAAACCCAAGCTTGTTGAAATTTTGAGTATCGTTTGCCCATGCCATGTTCTCAATTTTACCGTCATCCCCGCGGACGTCATTATAAAAATACAAGCCACTATATGATTATCATGTCAGAAATAAATTTAATATTAATAAACAATCAATTATTTTTAACACGTGAGCAACATCATACTTTTCATTTGAAAAGATAAAATCAATAAGATTGATCCGGTTATCTTCAGGAATGCGTTCATTCAAATAATCAATGGTATCAAACACCATTTGATGCTCGCTAGCGACTGGTAATCTCATGGCTCCAAGTTCACCATATAATTTTTCTTCCTTATTTTCACTAAAATACTGAGTATGCACACGTCCACCCACACGATCCTGACATTCGAGAATTGTGATTTGTTGAATACCAGCTTTCTGTAAGAGTAACGCAGAAAATAATCCTAGGCATTCATCGTGACGTAGTTGAAAAGATATGTGTCTCTCATAAGGTCAGAAGATTTATTATACAAACATTCAAATAATATACCTGACATTCCTGCACCAATGATACAGATCTCTAATTGTGAAAAAATATATCATTTGAAAAATTGGTCAGTCACATCACACACATGATATTGCACATATTTACTTGGCTTGGTAGTGGGTTTATTTATTGGTAGGCGAGGAGGTCGGTCAAAAGGCGCAACACTAAAATTTGGAATCCTATTACACGCAAATAGATATGATATTGAGCATGGAGACGATTAATGCTCATTTTTAAAACATCGAATCTTGTCAATATTGATTAGATAGAATACTTTTTCTGATAATATCGTAATCGAATGTGTGAGTTTTCCGATGGAGGTGCGCCACCTCCAATTCGACGACGGTAATCATGAATCGTTGTAGAGTGTGAAGCATGAACCCAAGACATTTTTATTTTTTAAAAGAAATATGAGACTGAGTTCTCTCAATTCAATATCATTTGGCTTTTTTATCACTTTTCTCGATTTTTAGATGTTGGAACCGGTTTCATGTACAGTATCCATAGTACAACTTGTGCATCAAGCATTACATTACGCAACATGACTGATCCAGAGTGCGAACAATAGTAAAAAATTGGATAACTTCGAACGAAGAAGCACGCTCCTATTCTATGAATTTAATTGTAAATTTTTTTTTACAGATTGTTTGGTCATTTTCACGTTTGGCGAGAATCATATGCAGGTCGAACTTGTAAGACGACCAAAATAGAAGTCTTTATCGTTATATTATGGCTATTTTAGTTTTGTTTAACTTCATTTTGAATGTCGCAGCTATAAAAAAAATAGTTTTTTTTACAATTTAAACGACAAACAACTAAAAATTACGTACCGATCCATAGTAATTGTACATGTAACATTGTGGTGCATCATATAATAATTAATCGAAATTCCCAACATCCCGACAACCCAACTTCCCGACATTATAGAGATCGACAACTAGCATTTATTAACATCAACGTGATAAATAATTCTTAGTAATTGCGTAACTTTATTTTTAACTCGTTAATAACTAACTGATTTAACATAAAAGGGAATCGAACGTAAATTTAATTACATATAATAAAAAGTTAAGGAAATTGAACGTAAATCTTAGATAAAAGAATAAAAGCAACACATATCATTACAAAGAAAGATTGTGCGCAATTCCACGAAGAAAATCTAACACTGAACGATTTGCTCAATAATTAATAACATTTATGATTCTTACCTCTCTATCAATTATTGGCTTTTGTCGGGAAGTTGGGTTTCGGGAAGCTGGCTTTGTCGGGAAGTTGGCTTTCGGGAAGTTGGCTTTGTCTGGAAGTTGGGTTGATTGGGATGCTGGATTGTCGGGAAGTTGGGGTAGATTCATTTAATTTAAACCAAATAAATAAATTGATAACTATAATTTGGGCACACACTATAAAGTAATTTAATTTTATTTTATTATTAAATTTGAGTTAAATTCAACGTCAAGTGTATTTGCACATGATTGCTGATTACAAATTTACACAACTATTACGTCCATATCGACATTAAAATTTAACGACATAAAAAAATTCCTTAAAAGATTATCCGCGGTTTGTTCTTGCTGTATATCTGGTTGAGAAACTTGCGAAATAGAATCTTGTTGGTATGTTAATCACCTTTTTTTTTGAATATTTTTTAATTGTTCACCAGTTACTTGAATTTCGTCTATTTTGTTACTTTTAAACTGTTGAGTAGAATCGGTCATGTTTGGATGGGTTTTAAGTCCCATTTGTTGAGGTTAGTTATATTCGAGTTTCAAAAAGGTTCAGAGTTAAAAACTAGCATAAAAATTGATGATAAAATTTATTATGAAATAAGATAAAAACTTTTTCTTTGAAGTGACGGTTTTAAATTTTTTCTAACAAAAGCCGATTCAAAACAAAGCCGATTTAGCTTAGAAGTATGTATCGTTAACAAAAGTAAAGCTCTTCCTAACATAACTTTTAAAAACATCTAATTAAATATTTTACACCATAATTCCTTTTGTTATAGCACATTAATTGTTTTCTTCAAAATTTGCTAGAAAGTATGATTAATAGACGAAATGAACAATTTTTCGAATACTAATCTTGGACTATAAAAACACTCGACGATTTTGTCAATCAATCAATTTATGCATAATATCTGTACTATTAATTTTTACTTGACATATGACGCACCCGCATCTGATTTTTATGATAAATACACAAACGGTATTCATTAATTTCCCTAAGTTCTGATTTGTGCTCCAAGCTAAAATTTAAATATAAGTTTTTCATCTTTCTTTTTGTTGATAAATTTGTGGTTTCTTATAGGTGCAGCAAACCAGGTTTACCTGCGATATATATATACTATATACAGTGCCCGTCAAAAGTATTCCCCCCCCCCCCACCCTAGGTCAACGAGGAGATAAGATAAATGAAAAATCTTTTTTTTATTTAAAAGCTCTGATTTCATACAACAAGATTAGTATATGATATA